TATGCTCCTAAAAGCAAGTTAGTTGTTGTATCAATGTGATCTGTAGCTTACACAGCTTTATTGATTGATTCCTTTGTCCGAAGTATCATACATACGATGGTATATAGCTAGTCCGTTATATAGACGTAATAATTAGGCAGAAATGTCAATATACAATTTGACTTGAAAAATGAAAGTTGAAAGAACCCCCAATAAATCTATTATGTATAATACGGAAACATTCCTTGTTGATAAATAATAGATTACATCGGTTTATAGTTTTGTACAACCGAATAATCTTCAAAATATTCCAATATTATTTGATTTAGTTTTATCTACAAAAAATTATATAACAAATACATGTACGTTATCAAGTGCTAGGTAAAAAATAAAGGAAGAATTTTCTTATCAATACGACAAATTACCTAAGACCGGTTGATATGGATAAAAATTTTTTACATGTCTATTGCGAACATAGGTCGAATATATTTTCATGGAACAAAGAGACCAACGATTGAGCAGCTACCTGAAATCATCTGAATACCATATATAAGCAAAGGGATTGTTGTTAGAAACTGTCAAATGCACAGCCTACTTTAAGTAGACAGAGAAGATGTATACAAGAAGAATATTTCCCTATACTATCCGTCTCCTCTCCCTCTAAATCATTTCCCTTCTCATTCTTTCCATGGAAAGTTGTAACATGTTGAATAATCTATCGTAACTAGTTTGTACAAACCTGTAAACTCGTGTATGAGGACTGCTTCTTGCCCCCTATTGAGAATCTGAAGCGTTCGTCGTGCACGTGTCTGTGTCTGAGCAGAAGCGATCGCATCACAACCGGCTTATCGTCTTCCTCGATGAGGCCTTCGGTAACCATGCTTTCAACCACCCTACGGACATAATGAAATATTACATGTAAATCCTTAAAAGTGCACTTATTTTGTATTTTTATTATACATGAATTGTTGGATAAATAAAGGACGAGTAGTTAGTTTCCGATTGCGACAGCTAAGGAAAAAACTGCTTGGGCGTAAAATATACGTACGCATAGTACGGGTACTTCCCCAGAAAATTAGACATATTCATAATATGGCTGTCGACATTGAGAAATGATAACACTGAACTAAACAACGTTTTTTAATTGATTCCACTTTGAATTAATGTTAAAATATATATTTTTTTTACCATTACAATCGTATCTTTTTTAAGACTGTATTATTAAGAGTTTTAGTTACGTGTGGTTATAAACTGGAACATCGGGATTAATAAGCAGTAGATTTTGTACCTGTATGCTACACCAGGGAGATCTTTCTCGTCGAGATCGAGGAGTACGACACCGGTCTCCAGACATCGCCTCAGATTCAGTAGGGAATGAAACGACAGAGAGGCGACATGCGGCCGACCCCATCTCGCAGACCCTTCCTCAACATCTTCTTCGTACTTAATCCAACGAGCTGTTTCCTTCCATTCTGGATCACCATCCTCGGTGGCGAGAAGCTCATCGAGTTGGACGAAGACCTGCATAGAAGACATCACGAATCGTACTGATTAATATCGCGTGACAATAAGATATAGTACGTCTTAGTCTCAAATCTAAAGCTGTAATCGATAGATATGAAAAATTCGCATGTAAAAATCATTGCCGGTACGGTTAGTACATAATACTTTGTCGATTAGATTATGTTATTATCTTACCGCGTGAGGCCTATGGTCGTACATTTTTTTGTACGTTAAATCAGAGAGGATGTCCGCAACCCTGTCACCACCATCCTTTCGGCCGACGTGCACCGTCGAGCCCTGCATTCGTACAAAATATAAAGAGGATAAATCTTAAAAAAAAGTTAAAAAATTTGCGGTATATATTTTTTAAAGACAAAAATTGAATATCATTAACATAATAGCCAATTAAATCAAGCATTACACAGGAGGTACTTCCTACTTTAACAGAGAGGGCAACATCAATTTATAACCATTATGTAGTACTACGGTCTATTTAATTGTGACCTATAAAGCTAAGTGTCCACAGGTTGATATCGGACGCATCGTACGTATACAGCGCAGCATCGCATACCACTTACCGGCCTGATGACAATTAGCTTTATACAACTTTATCGATTTCGAAGTGTGGCATTTCATTCAATTCACATTATTTGTTCATAGCTTACAAACCTTGCGTATCTTATGACGTCGTAGGGCTCTCGGGTCGTCGCTGCGATGACTGCGCAACACGTCCTGGTCCATCTCTGGCATGTGTTCGTCGGAGCCCACCATCACGCTCGACTCATCATCCAGTGGCAAGCTCACATTCTCGTGCACCACCAATTTACGTGTCTTGTATGGTTGTGCCACCTTCCTGTTATAACAATATAAAAGTTCTGTATTAAAGAAAGCCTTAGGAAGTTGTAAGCAAGAAGTTAATACTCTAATATTCAATCTTTAGTTAATAATAGAAATAATAAAATAATTAGAGGTTCGCGCAACCGTGCGAAACGCTAATGTTGTGGCCGAGTGATCATTAATTCAAGTAAACAGTGTGCTCTGTCATTTATTTTTAATGAACTCTTTAATTATCCAAGGGTCACCGTTAACACGTTTGACTCGGTTAAAAGTGCACGCTTATTATTAAGAAAGTTATTAATCTACTTTTTATTTTAGCCCAATTTTATAATTTTAGGCGATAAAATTTTACAACTACCATTTGAGAATTTTGTAGCTAAAAGATATGTTATTAATATCTTTTGGATTGTTAAAATAAATTTCCTATACTCAGTCTTCTATTTAATTAAATTATATCCCTAAAGCTATGTATCCATGAAAAACTTTAAACAATGATAAATGTTAATAAATTCTTAGCAGCACAAAATATTCAGAAACTCGTTTTACCCTCGCTGAAATCTATTATTCCATAGAATCCCTGTTACAGTCTGTATATAATTAAAACAAGATTTTCAATGAATTTCAGTGCTTCCATGTTCCCGGTATTTCGTATAAATAGGAGTAAAATTATTATTCCGGACAACAATTTAATTCAGTCATACAAAGTTATGAAACACGAGTTTTAAACAGAAATTCGCACACTATAATTACAAACATGAACAGAATGTGTCAGAGTAAGTTATCTATTTTTAAATAAACATAGCTATGTTACAGAAACTTTCGTTTTGTTTTAATGCAATAAAAATTCTCTGTATTCTAATAAAGTTTTGAAATTTAAATTGTTTTTATTTATTGAACCTAATCAGTAAACTTGCTTTTTTGTGAAAGGAAAAGAACACTTTTTAAAAGTGACCGTTAAACTATCATCCATTAATTATAAACAAAATGTTGGATTTTGCAGTAAGTATATCGTCGATTTGTTTTTCCTTGTTTTGTATCTTATTATAAATTCGCTTAGTTTAAATAATTATAACATTATTGGCAAGCAAATGAGCAGTGCCTTGTGTCTAGCCATCTGAGACGCACCGGCAATCCAGCCCGCCCTTACACTCTAAATTACATTCGCGGATAATCCTATGGGACATCAATTTATATATCCAGCCAGTAACTGGCTCATATAACGACATCTAGTGACATACAAACGTTTTTATGCGACTTACTGTGGGTTTTCGAGATCAATGTAACCATTTAAAACATAATGTTATATCTGTGTTGTAAACAAGGTTGATGATACGTTTCATACAGATATTTTAGTATCAGAAACCAACAATTAGTGACCTAGTTAGCTAGATGGTATTGGTTCCTATTCAGAATTTTTTGCTATCCAATTAATTTCATTGACTCAGTCTTATTCTGATTAAGTGGATAGCTTCAGTATTTACTCTTGCAATGGCAAGGAAACTCATTATTTGAAAAGCATTAAATAGGTTTTCTACAAGTACCGGAATGCAAACCGAGAAGCAAAGTAAAATGTTTACTTTCGCTAAATGTTTATTGCGAATACTGTTTTTATGGATACCGAGATGCGAAATATCAACAGAAATTAATGTAAAGTTAAACTAGCTGGACGAGTAAAAAGTGAAAAAAGCAAATACTGTATAGGAAGCATACATAGAATTAAAGTGTTTCGTACAAATTTGTTTGAAGTTTGAAGTTTAATAATAATAATATTGGATTAAGGGCCCGATACAAAAGGCAGTTTATCTAGGAACTCCGCGCATTGTGAGAAGGGTCCTGTCTCTGCAGCCGTGACCGCTGGTTGCTTGAGTCATGGGATTCCGCAGCCGATGGTGTTCAATTTTTAATACAATATATTTTGTATAATTTTTTATTTTATATATGAAATGTACTATATTAAGAATATGATAAATAATATAAATAATAATAATAATAGTAATAAAACTTTATTGTAAATACATTTAACAAATCTGATTCATTGTAACTGTGGCTCCTTAAGTAGGTTTCCCCGTATTAAAAGAGCCAATGACTTCCTATACGATGTTAAATTGCGTATGTACAATTTTGTTAAGTTCAGTAATCATTTTATAATTTAAGTGAACAAACAATAGTAATAAGATATAGTAATACTATTTTCGAAATATGAATAGTTGTGTTACCAGTGTAAAGAAAATTTTGCCCAAATTCGACAATAAGCAAGATAAAAAAATTTAAACTTAAATAAACTATACTATTTGTCAAAATGTTATTTTTATATTTATTATAAAATAAATTGAAACCTAAAACTATCTTGATAAAATGTCTTATAGAATTATTAATTCGTGTTTTAAAAATGTCACTACTAATTAGATTATACTAAACTTTACTAAAAACTAAGAAACGAAAATTAAACAAAGAAGAGGTCGCAAGGAAATCAATTTTCCTCTTATGGTTTACGAGCGATGTTTACCATAAAAAAGGCCTACGAAGGCCGGTGGATAAGTGTATGTACATATGAAATTCGATAAACAAAAACACATCAGTTCATGGCTGTGATCATTCCATATCCTGCAGTTTACATATCCAACTGCGCCACTGATGCTATGTTTATCGTATTTAAGATTCATATATTCGTACCAATAAGTTGGTCGAATGTCGTGTGAATGAGTTCAGCAGCGCGATTAGTTTCGTACGCTTCAATTGTGATAAAACGTGCCTGCCTCAAAGCGATTGTGACGTCATTTTTGGCATTGCTAATGCTGAAACTAATTTTGTACGACTTAAATTTCTCATTCAGAATTATGATATCAGAAAAAAAACTTTTTAAATTCATTATATTTTTATATTTTTAAACAAAAAAACTATGAAAAGGTAAAAAAAATATATGTAAAAATACCTCCATATTCGTTAACTAGCATGTACATAAAAGCGCCATTCAAGAAACCTCGTTGTGTAGTTTTAGTTAGTGGCCAATACTCATTGAATCTAGACTGGAGAGTTTTTTTATCAATGGCATACGTATAGGCAATATCAGAGTAGTATAAAAATATAATATTTGTTTAATTTCATATGTGTATGCATGTTATACAAGTTGACGTATGTATGTTGTACATTGTGCTTATTTATTGTACATTGCACAAGGAAAGCGAAATATTGAGGAAGATCTACTTCCAATATTGAGCTGATACAGACCATCGTTAATAATATACTTACACATATCTCTGGTTACGACGCTCGTCGTTTGCGTCGTCGAAAAGCTCAGTTGTAGAGCTGCGCCGATCGCCGTCGAACTGCACGCGCCTGTCTTCCACCTCCCGGGGACTTCCCGCTGACCCCGAACCCGAAAACCCCAACGACATCTGTGCATTTCAATACATTAACACCCGATCACATTCAGATGCTAAAGCATTAACAATATTCACGCTGATTGATTGTAATTATGTGTTCGGATTAGTTAATGGAGGATTAACAATACAATCGGCGTTCAGTGTTTGACTGAAAGCTGACGCTTTTAGTCTTAAAGCAAGGCTCGTTATTATCGATCGCAGGACGTCGCATGCTGACATTAATAATTGTTCCTAGCACGATCAATGGCAGTCGCCGACGTCGCTGCCGCTGGCACAACCCTCGCTCAGTTGCCGTAGGGCGATGCGCGACCTTCGCGGCGGCCCGCGCCCATCACGGTGCACTCTCCTCGGTGACACGTAACCGAGATTACGATGCGCTCCGTTGACTGACTACATCGATCCAATTGGTGCATAAATAAAATTCAGAACGAGGACCATCGAAATAGCTGCCGTGAATAAGTTACATTTCACGGTCGTGCCAATGGAATAATTACAATAACATTGCTCGGCCGAATAACGTTTCGAACATTTGTCTAACTTTGAATTGAAACACGTTGAAAACTAATTGAAAATGAATAAACACACAAGCCGGGGCTTTGTGTACATTCAACGTCGCGCATTTATAAGAGAACGCAACAGTCGTGCATGCTGCAAGAATGTCGTTCGACATTCAAAACAGCTGCGTACAAACTGATGAAGGTAATGAAGTATCAATACTGACCTGATGGTCTGATCCGATGCTGTCCAACGGCAACGGACTTGCTTGTGATAATTCCGTTACACTTGGTAGACTCCCTCCATCTGCATAAAAAATGCTTTATCAATAAATTTGTATGAGCACATATTATATGTAAGTGTTCACGAAAATTCAGTATGATCTAATTTTTTTCGTATATGAAGGCAAAGTAGCAACCAAACCATGGGATGTTATGCGTCTTAAACTTAACAACAACTTAAACTTTTTGTGATCTTATTAATTATTGTATTCTTGTAGTCTTGGATTAAAATTTTAACGCCAAGATTAAGGTTATGGGTGCGGCAGATATTAAAAATTCTATGCTTGTTTATTATTTTCGGACAACTTCGATCAGCAGTTGACTTTTACCAAACACAATCCACAGTTTGCCGTAAAATAATGCCGAGTATGTATGCTCTAAGATGTTTGTACCGATAGTTTGATACAGTCCATGTATAGCACTAACATACCTTGCATAATTTGCTGTGGCATTGGTGCCGCGATATCCCGAAGCGGCGAAGCTGTATTTTCCAGAAGTGGCGGAGGCCCGCCCTCGCCCCACAGTACCCGCTCCATCTCCTCGTCCAGCCGAATCTCGTCCTCACCCTCACCCTAACAACGTATAGTATATTAGTAGTAATATCCTGTATTCATTAAATGTCACTGAGATTCTCTATCTTATATCTCCACTACAATTCGAATGATAAGTCACGTCATATATATTGTAAATTGTCATGATCAGCAAATTAATATCATAACTAAATACAGTAAAATAATTTACTTATTGATAATAATTGCAGTCCCTTAATGTATATTTATCATATTAAATTAACATTGAGTCTCCCTTAGTTTTCATTAAATATCTCGAGTGCTAGAATTAATACCTTTATATCCGTTATATAATACATAACTTTGATATTTGACTATTCTTAGAAGTTTAATTGTTGATCAAAAATAAAATTCGCACGATTTGAGAGCTTCAATGTGTGGAGATTCCTCCCAGATTATTTCTCAGGCACCGTAAGAAACGTTACGCAAAAGCGTGTAAACTTGCAGCGGTCTTAAGCAGAAATGATATCCTCGGCGAGGATGAGACAAAATATCCTGATCCGAATGTGACAAACATTGTATTTACATGATTTAAAACGCAATAGCCATGGCCAAATCGAGGTCACTTCAAATAAACAAAGGTAAAAACGATATCCAAAACGTGAGACGAGGTGTTTACGAGAGGATAATTTCGCCAAGCACAAGGGCGGACAATGTTATTTTAATTTTCACCCGACTTCGACATCGTACGCGTGATTGTTTTGCTAATATCCACCTTGTGGTCGCATTTTATTCGATTACATTGGCATTGCCTTCAACAATTACATAAATTATACATGTTTTTACACGTAGGTAATCGAACACCATTATACGGTAATTGAGCGTCAAATGATCGAGTATACACAACGAACAAGTGTGGGTTTCCACTATCAAAACTATATTTCAAAACATATTGTTATTCCTTTTATTTCATTTACAAATACAATGACAACAATATGTTGTAATACAAATGTTTCGGCAGTGAAATTTCACGGTTAATATTCCTTGTTTTCAAATGATAATGTTCAATATTGTGTTCATTGTTAGTGTTAATTTCAACTGTGACATTTGTGTAAAAATTCTAATCTTTGTTTTATTTAAAGAGAATGAAAAGATAGCAATATTGTTATACAAGTGTTACAACAATAGAACCTTACTGTTATGTTGTACTTATACAACTTATAAAAAAAAACTTTACCTATCCGACACCACGGAAGAAGAATACAAAAAGTAAATATGCACTTTAGAACCGATATACAAATAATCCCGTTGAACTGGGAATGAGAAAATTATGTAGCGAGAATATATTCCAAGAAATTAACATAATTATTTCACGCAGAATAATCATCATGAAAAACGAAAATATCTCAATAATAAATCTGAATTGAAATCGATAGCGTGGACCTAGTTATGCAGTTGAATTACTAATAAATGTCATATAGTTGATATGTAATAACGATATATAAAGGCAATTGTTACGATCAATATGTATGGTATAATTTACTCTCGGTTACCAATACCCAAATACGTAAACGTATAGTTATAGCAATATATCTCGTTCTCTTTGACAGAAAAGAGAAGACAAAGACAAAGCAATTACTAATTAAAGCCAAGTATTAATTAATTAATACTCGTATAATAAGTCTGTAACAGGTCCGTGTTTGTGAATCCGTTCACTCTAATCATAGATACGGTCCAACTGAATTTGATGCGGTTTTTATTGCATAAGAGTAATTTTTACTTAATATTCAATAATTCATCTTAATTACTTAGTGCCAAAATAAATAAGAATCACCAAACTATTTATATATTAACTAGTGTAACTTTAAAAAAATCTGTTGTAATTAATAATCAGCTAATAACGCCGTTTAAAATCGGAAGTATTGAAAAGAAATTCCAAATCCATTCTGATGTTTGTGTCCGAAGTAAAATAAGCGACGGAATGTAAACACTCGAGTCAAGGTGAGGCGACACCGACTATGGAATGGCAATAAGATATGGAATTGAATGGAAAAATATACAGAGAACGTAGCACCTTGGAAATGTCGTCGCTCTGCGGTGTACTAAAAAGTAAACACAGAAACTTATCGATATTAATTAATTAAAAATAATTTGTAAATTAATTAAAAGAAAAATTACAAGTCCTAATGTCACTACATAGTTTAATTAAGTTTTATGAAAACTAAAACATGCGACATGAAAGAGGAAATCTTAATTTTAAATTAATTTACATAATTATAAATGTAAAAGTTTTAATTGATGGATGGATGCTTATTACGACATAAATACAGACCTACTGAATAGATTTGGATGAAATCAAATGATTAAATACTTCAGATTAAATATAATAAAGCATCGACTACTAGTAACATACCATCATCTCCCTGTCGTTATACTAATTATGGTGGGTCGTCGCACCAGGTTATCATCCTCTAGATCAAACTATCTTTCAGATCCATCTATCGCTCCCGTCTTGATCAAGTAACTTTTTACAATTCATCCATCTTTGCTATTATATCGACACTTACTGCTTTATCCTTGATTTAAAATGGGTAACTCAAAATAAACGAATAGAAAATAGTTATAGATTTTTTTTCATTGTTATGTAAACGCTACAGTATGTTATTACTGATTGATTATGGACTCCGTATGTAGAACAACTTATGTAACTGTCGCCACTTGGTTACGACGTTCAAGTTTGAAGCTCAGGAATTATTAATACAATCAGACACGCCTAGCCACGACACGATTCGGCCCTTTAAGCTATCGTCATAATACTATGTTTAGTAAAAATTTACAATGCTACATACAATTTGTTTTAATATTTAATTTTGTAATGTTGGTTGTAGGATTTTTATTTATAGATAAGTAATAGCCTTATAAGTATTTTTTTGTTTTTTTTTAATTTTAAAACATAACGAAAATTAAAATAATGCCTACGTAGGCCAACGAGGACAATCCGTTCTAGAAATAAAAAAAGTTGGTCACGAAAACAATAAAATCACAGGTGTTATCTGAGACGATAGCAGTGATAAGCCCAGGGTTGCCATCTTGCCATCCTTTTTCATTTAGCTTGACATGTTTTGCATTTGCAAAGGGTACAATTTCTTCAAACCTCTAATGCCTCTGGCACTAACCCGTGAAAGTGTACCGTACCAAATTTTGATATAACATGCATAAATTTAATTAAAGTCTCGAAAGCAAATAATAAAATGACTAATAATATTTTCGAAACTTTTTATAAGAAAATAGACAAATGGACGGCGGGACACCAGAGTAACTGCAGATGCGTTGCTGGCCTTTGAGGACCTTGTATGCTCGCTTCTAGAAGGACAATAACTTTTCATGTCTTTTGCGCTACTCTACGTTTTGGTGCCGGTTCGCTTTCGCATGGATCGATTCACAGCGAAATGTATAAAAGCATCACAATCCATTCATTAAATATTGAAAACGTAATGAAAACTCGAGTCGACTCACATTTTTACCTTCAACGTAAATAATATAGAATATTAATAATATGAAGCACTAACGACCAAATTCTTAAAGTACGGTCAGCAAAACAAAACATTGTAATGTCCTACTAGCGATGTCAGTGCAAAACAATTTTGTATGATTAAAAACACATTAAAGACAAAAAGTGATTAAATAAGAAAAACAACTAAAAAGTAGTACATTTCTTTTAAGTTTAATGTTTGTGTATTTATATTAAACTACATAAAAAGCATAAATATAATTAACATATCTGTCTGTCCCAATCGGTCATAAAAATCCATGAAAAAGATAGTACATGATTAAGTAAAAACATATAAGTAAATTAATTATTCCGGAATTCATGCTTCCACTCTTAAAATAATAAAAGAGAATAATATAAAACAAGTCAAGTTTATGCTAACAAATTAATTAAGAAGACTTTTGAATAACAAAAAACACAAAACACAACTATACATTCGGATTTTACCCTTAAAATAGCCAAGTTCTTTCTTCAATTAATTATTTAGATGCATGTTGCGAAATGATATCGCAGAAAATCTGGGTCATGACAATTTTCATTGATTAGTATACGTTTGATAAATAAATAATTTTTACACAATTATTATTTCTATAGGGGAATAAATTAACTTGCTATCGGTATAACGTTAATCGAATTGGAGCTGCTAATGTCATTATCTGTCCTAACCGTGTTTACCCGAAGCCGCCTTCTTGTATCATCGAGTACACAAATTGTGACAGTAAAACTAGCAAATATGACAACATAATGACTTCAAAGTAAACACAAAATTAAACATCATTGTTTACAAAGGTCACTCATGGGGATTTAATGAAAAACATTTAATGAAACCAAATTTATGTACGCGATTGTACAACTTAATGAATTTCCGTTCGGGAACGGCGCATTGTGTACACAATGGTACACGTGAGCACGAAAGTGATCAGTTTTAATAATCTCACGGACGCTGTAAAACCTAGCGCTATTTTCAATGAAATGATTTTATTTGCATTCGGGAGCACTCGGCTTGTTTACAGGTATATTGAGATGTTATTGAAAAGCTTTCATTAGCAATTATAATATTGTTAATTATTATTCGCATTAAAAAAAACTTTCCTTTTCTTTCCTACAGGTAAAAACGTTATTATTTTTTATGAGTATTTCGGCAATAGAAGCCTACACTTATCACCCTAGGCCTTTTTTATTTATATTTTATTGCACATAACAATATATTAATAAAATGTAACTACAAAAATGGTTACAAAAATTAAGGTAAATATCGAGATACAAACTGTACTATCTTTTAAATTGAACCAAGTTACACATTCTTGTGTAATTTCATTAAGACTGTTTTATTAGTTTCCAAGTTAATCGAGGGATTACATCGTGTTACGAGATTCTTACACATATGTGGTATAGACGTATGCACATAAATACTGGAAACTCGTAGCATGTCCGGAGATAGAAGGTCTAATTAGAGATTGAAACAAGATTTCTGTGGAAGTGTTAAGTCCGAGTGTAGGTCAGGGTCGGAGGA